ATAACAGTTAGCTACTCTTACATTTTAGTAGCCCGGCTTGCACCATTTTTCGTTAAAGTCCGCCAAGATAAGGTCAAATTTCCATGAATAGGCATCCGCTGTCTGAGCAATTGGAGGTAATGTTGATGGAGTTTATATTAAGCTCATTAAAAAAATTATAACTAGCCTTAATTTAATATTCTTTGGTCACGTCCAACACAATTTAATATCCCTTTACAATCTTTAACAATGAATTAAATATCTAATCACAAATTCCGTAAGACAGTTAGGCACGGGAAGTAGATCTTTGGGCGCCCCTACAAGACAGGTTTGCCATTATTATTATTATTACCAGGAGCAGCTTAAGTCGGCTATCGATTTATAGTTGTCGGGCCACCATTATATTCGTTACCCAGATTGCCAGGGCATACAATGAAAAAGTTAAGAAGTTTCTGTGGTGTGGTTGCGCACAGATCGTAACCTATCAATTGGGCAACTTAAATCTTGCAATCCGCATAGATTGACGAGCCCTACCTTCATGAGACCTTAACGTAGATCGCCCCCGCTGTACTCTGAGCGTTATTCTCTCTTGCCATAAATTATGAACAGAATGGAAGTTAATTCAGGATACATAAAAAATAATACAGTCGATACAGTTAGGCTATATTCGTCCTTCAGTCGAGTAAATATATGACCATCAACTGAAATATTATCAAGTCCTGAGATAATGGATAAATTCGGATTGCTTACGTAGTTCTCGTTTTAGTGAGGTATTTTCCAGGAGGTCAAAATGACGCACAATTAAAAACCAGCATCGTGGCGCGACGTTGAGAATATGCTGCATGATGATAATCAAAATTACAAACGCAAATAGAAACAAAAAATTCTAGCCGACACCATAATCCACAATCTCCCGTTAATGTTTCATGGGTTAGGTCATCAATTATTTGGAGAGACAGTGATATTCGACATTTTCGAGGGGCGGTGACTTGTGCTCAAATAACTTCCTACTGGCAGTAGACTTTCGCTGCATCGATCGCACCCTCCTTTTCTCCAACA